GCGGTCACGAACTGTCACCAAGTGCCTTAAATCGGTTCTAGCGCCATCTAGCGGTCAATTCATACTAACAGTAAAGCTTATATTATAAAGATTGGCGAGCACAACTATTTATACACAACTTTTATTAAGCTTAAAAAAAAATACATGATCGTATTATAATATTTTTTTATTATTAATAAAGGTCGCTTTAATATTTCATAATTAAGTGTTTACTAGTTGAGAAAGTTTTTTTTTTACAACTTCTTTTAGCAGGTTCCATATTTTTAAAATAACAGTGCTGACTACTGACTCATAGTAATATATAGTATAATAAAATATCTGACATAACTTCAATTTTATGTTCAGTACAAGGAAAAGAAATGGGAGTTTTTAAAACATCATTCCTGTTACATTAAATACATCTACTTCTTCACAAAATCTTTCAAAAGAATTTTCTATTGTTTTAATAATATTAAAAAAGTTAAAATTAGGGTGTATTAAATAACCTCTATACTTAATGTTAGTAAGTGAAGCTACTGATTTAGTAGATGTATTTTTAAGAAATGCTAAATTTTGCTTTTCCGGCTGCGACTATTTAATACAGAGCACTTATTAATCATTTTAAATACGAAAGTACACGTCATATTATACGTAATAACAGGACTACAGGGCAATTAATGCATGTTATAATAATTATTGTTGTTATTTTTAATATAACTAGAATTATAAATAATCTTTTTTTAGAAACTACGTTTCACCGGCAGATGGCTCTAGTGCAGATATAAGGAAGTCAGCGACAGTACGCGTCTATACTCTATACCTTTCCTGCTCCCGCCCATCAATGATCCGTCCCATTAATCATAGTTCATGGTTGTAGTATAGAAGTCTTTGATTTGTTACGATATTATAAAAAACGGAAACAATCCATTGACCACGGACAACGACCGTTTTAATTTATTCAAAGTTTTTTATGCATGGATTGGTATTGTCATTTGTCAGTATTGTCACATTTTGCTATTAAATATTATAATATTGTTATTTGACATTTTTCAAATAATTTATAATATTGATATGAAATATTTAATTGATAACGTATACCGAGCTCCCACAGAGACTGTCTTCAATGCCATAGTCACCCGATTTGGATTTTGGACATAACACAGTGTCTAACCCCTGATAATAGGTTGATTCACTCTAATTTTTAAACCAACGGTGCTAAACGCGTTCTCCTGAGCGTAAATTTGCTATGTTACGCACTTGTACGACGAAAACAACACATGACAGCGTAGCTAACCATAATAAAATTAACAACAAAGAATCACTTGAAATTGAAAAGCTTTTTATTATAACAATTAGCTTTGATCTCTTCAGTTTACCTCAAATTTAATATTGGATTGTTACTTTCTAATGACAAACAGGTACAACAGATGATAAGGAAACTCCTATTTAAATTGTTTAACAATATGTTTTCAGTACTGACAATATTTACTTTTATTTAAAAAAAATCATGTATATGAATACTTACTGGGTTATTAAATGTGTACAGCCAAAGATTGAAAATCAAATGTTCATGGGTCATGACAAAATATATGTCTTTATAATTTTATCTTTTTGTTGAATATTGTATATCGGAGTTTTAACCATAAATTTAAAATAACCATTATTACTATAGTTTCAAATGTATGATAACAGGTAAATATGCCAATTTTAAACTGCATAATATAATAAAATAATTGGGTCATAATGTGTCACATTTTTAAGTAAAAAATAAAAAATACTTTGGCTTATCACAAAGTTTATTACATTCACAAACGTGTACACTACATCAACCTATCTAAAAAAAAAAAATGATTAACAAATAACTTAGCTCAATTTTAAAAAAATTTAGAGATTTAACATTTTTTTTTTTTTTTTAAAGTTAACATATTTTTGAATGTCTAATACATCAGAATTATACTGTACTTAATAGTTCTAGTTTAACCCACAAAATACATATACAAATTTGCTACAGTGTTCGACTTGGGTGTTATGTTTATATTTTAGACTAATATCATAGTATGAAATAAACTATTTAATTTAAAGGTAACAATAATGAATAATATTAATTTGTCAACTTAGCAATCAAGACACATATTATATTATTATATTTTAATTACATTACACACCAGTATAGTAATGTTCAATTGGATATAATTCTCGTCAGAACTAAGATGTCCATCCATTTAAGAGTTTGAAATGCTGTATGGATCAAATAATTATCTACAACAAGCATAAGATAAATACTATTTTAGAAGATACTAAAATGCTGTTATTATAATATTTATGACAAAACAGTATAAATAGTTTTAAATAAGACTTGTAGAACTAATATTATACAAGAAATTATAAGCATCAACACAGTAACATACAAATCAAGGTACAAATTGTTAACTTTATTGGAGGTGTAAATCAAAATGTATGGTAAATTTAACACAGTACCAATCAGTCTGACGAGAGTTATCCAAAATATTATTATTTAAATATTCCCAAAACCACATTATTGAAAATCATAATTACATATAAACATTAAAAATGTAACTAACACAATACATCAAATAAAATATAAATAATTCTACGCTAATTCAAATAATAATTACTCATTATATGATTCATATTTCATTTAATTTAGCCATGAAACATTACACACAAGTTTCTTAATAATAAAACGACTACAAAGAGTTATAACGTACAAAAATATTACTTATCACATCACTAATATATAATTAAAATATTATATAAAATAATATTAAGTAAACAACATATTTGTACTTAAAATATTAATTATTTATTAGGCTCGCTATAGAATAAAAATCAAAACATGATATAATTGAAAATATTAGTATTTTGGCATTGTTTTAAAATAAAATAAAATCATTTAACATAATTTTCCCCGAGTATAAAAATGAACAGTATAATGATTTGCCTGAATTGATAGAAAATATTAAAATAAGTAAACCCCCCTAAAAAATGTATACACCTATACATATATATATATATATATATATTACGTAAATTAAAGACATTTTCAATTCAACCATCTGAAGTTCTTAGATTGAAACCTTTTTCATGTCAGATTATAAAAATACATTCAAATAGCATTTCCAAGGCAATTGTAAAAAGAAAGATAAATAATAATAAACAGGAAAAAGATTAAATAAACACCAATGATCAATCATTTGTATTTTTTTAAATTAATTAACAGTTTTTGTTAATAGTCCAAAAAATTATTTATTCATCTACAGAAAGTAAAACAACTATTATAAGCATAAATAATTATTCAATCTTGAACCAATAATCTACCATTATTCATTAAGTTTGTTAAAAAATAAAATAAAATAATATAATAATAAACAATCAAATTAATATTAGAATATGAATACTAAATTAATAATTATATACTAAAGATAAATAGATTGGAAAACATGACAAGTTGACTAAGTGGCAAATTACTTAAACATGATTGTGTTAGCCATTTTGTTTATTTTCATTTTTATAAACATTGTACAATAACCTTCCATTGTTAACATTATCAAAAATCGATCATAAATCCGTGTTATACGAATGACATTAGTGTTCCAAACATAAGTGCAATTTTTATTGTATATGTGTAATTCAGTAATTTTAAATGATGATAAAATCGATTGAAAAATTATGAGTATAATGAAGATTTACAAAAAATTCATCATAGTCATTTATTGAAAATGTAAGTTTCGTTAATATGAAACATATTTATACTTTGTGATGATAGATTAATATTTACTTTATTTATATATATATCTATATATTTATAATATATAGTTGTATGTTAAAAATTTTTATTACTCGCTTATGAAGGACTTGCTACTACCACAGGCGCATTAGTCAAAGACCGGGTTGCTAATGGTACAAATTCAGCTGCATCTGGATTCAGGTACTCTGTAAACACACATTTAAAATTGACAATGACTTATAAATATTAAAACAATGAATGGAAAAATCATTCAAAAAAAAAAAAATGTTTTTTTTTAAAAATGAACAGGTCAGCATAACATATTTTGTTCTACTTGTCTATTTCATAAACAGTAAATAAACTTGCCAGTTCTTCATATTTTTATTTTATAACTATGATTTAAATGAATGGTATAAACTATAAACATATATTACCAAACAATAAGTAAAAACCGCATGGCCCAATAAAATAAGTTATCAATATTATTATTAAAACTAGTATTTAAATTATATTAATTTCAAGTGATTACAGCCATCTAAATGTTTATCTTCAATTATAAGTTATTTCAAAGAAAAATATCTTAACAAGAATTATGAAAAGAAAATATTAGACCAGTTAAATTACAAGAATAATAAAATAATTATAAAAATCAGTGAATAAGAAAAACAGATTAAAAATCAGATGACCACTTCAGAAGACAAAACTTGAAAGACTATAAGAAACAATTAAATTTGAGTGTAAATACATTTATTTATTTAAGCAGTATTAATTTTAATATAAATTCGTGGGTCAACAACATTAATAGATTTTATTAAATACCTTTTACTTGTCACATAACTATATTTATAATTTCACATATTGCTCCCCACATAGGTAAATGGCTCTCAATATTTATAGTAGTAATCAATTTCAAATATTATGACAATGTATATAACAATAAGTGAGTGTCACATATCAGTGTTAAATTTTAATAACATGCAATCCTCTACTGATCATTAGCAATTCATATTTAGCATGAAGTCAATAAATGTATTTAAAAAAAATTAGACTTACTGTAGATTGCCTTGGCTGATCACCATTATTGCAAGATGTATTTAAGCTCAAATGATCAAGTCTATGGTTAATCATTGAGGTGAGCTACTTGAACCATTCTATAAATAATATAAAAGTAAAACTTTTATGCATATAAACATATATTTAATAGCAAAAATGTAACTTACATTTGAGCATCACCATTTGCTGAACCATTCTGTTGATATATGTTGTTCATCATCTAACATAGCCTCAAGACATTCTTCCTCAATTCTTTTTCTTCTAATTCTTTCATAACCTATAAGTTATAAAATATTCTATTTAAATGATAACCATGGCATTAATATTTTAATTTGATATTCATGTAAAAGTAAAAGTAATAACATTTTTCAATTATGACATTTTAAACTCAACAACATCATATACAACTAATAACTATAATAATTTTATTTTTGCATCTCTTCAATAAGTAATAAGTTATAAATTAGTGGTTGTTTGTCATCGTCCAGCCACCAGCCTATAAAATGAATCGCCCTTCCTCAAACACACCCAGTTTTTATCTAAAATGTCAATAATATTATAATAATGTTAATATGTTATCAGCTGGTCACTATATTATGTCTAATTATGCAATATTAATTATATTCTATACAACTATTAATTTTTAGAAATAGTATTATTTACTGTTGTTTTGTTTGTAATGTATATAAAAAAATTAAATCCGGTGGCAGGGTGATTTATATCTAATACAACAGCATAGTAATGGGGCAATAACAAACAAGTACCCTTAATTATTTTCAATGATCTATTATATCAAAATTTCTTATACCTAATGAATATGAAAAAATCAATAAAAAATTATAAATTAATTATTTTCGACGAGTAGTAAACCTCACAAAAATATTTAGTAAAAAACCATACTGTTCTAAACGACAGATATCGTTTCAAGAGCCACGTCACCAAGCTTATATCGGTGAAGTCATGGGAGATGCGCCATACCAGATATAAATTGATGAACTGTTTATTCTCTTTTGAAATTGAGTATATTATATACCTGTAAGTCAAACTCTTCTTGATTTTCCATCCACATATATTCAGAAAAATCTCCATCCCTTGTTGGTGGATCAATTGAATCGGAATTTGATTCTGTATCATATGGATTACTCAAATTATCATCATCATTTAATGTATTGTCATTATTTTGTTCTTTGGATTCTTCCTTTGGGACCTTCATTGTTTATGTAATTATGTATTCAATTAATTCCTAAAACAAAAAATACCTACACATAAATACAACTTTTAGCTGACATTCCTCAAGAAAAGTAAAAATTTAGGTTGGTTATTCACAGAGGTCTATAATATTTTATGATCGCATATTAAGTAAAAACTTATACAAAATCAACAGTATTACACTTTGTCTGTCCCAATAATCTAGTTATGATATTAATGAGTAATGACTAATCATTATATGAAGGTAAGTATTTTTTTCCTTTTAGTTATAAGGAACTAACGAAAATATAACCTTTATGTTATCTACATCCATTATTATTAATATGAATTAGGCAAAAAAATATTGATTATTAATTGATACATGCTTAGGTTATATTGTTATTAATGTCAAAACAATATATATAGATTTTATTTTGATGTTGATTTGAAAAAAATTTTAAATAAAAAATGGGAAATATTTACGTATTTACAATATTTTACATATTATCAACAACAATCAAGGCCAATATAGTCATCACTAGAAAACAGATTTTTTTATTTTTCCATCTTTTTACTTTATCTTTTCATTAGGCTGAGGTTTCTGATGTTTAATTTTCAAACCAGTGGCGTAATTTGGTCATGGTTGTGGGGGGGATGAATGTATGTACATTTCACCAATTACCCCCCCCCCACCCCCCTCAATTTTTTTTTTTTTTTAATCGTATAAGGCATAAGCTATAAGTAATAAGCACCCCTCAATACAAGAATACAACCATTATGATCTGTATGTAATAACTAGTAGCCGGAATTATATTCTTTTGCATATTTTTTTGAGTCTATGCAGTCAGACGGGGGTTCGAAATCTTTACAAATCATGAAACAGGTGAGTTAATGGCAAAAGTTTATTTTGCATATTTGGGAATATTTCAAGATAAAAGAATATTTCGTATAATAAAAAATATTAGAGAATATATCGATTAATTTTTGTAGATGTTCGATATTTTTTGTTGCAGTGGCCTAAATAATATAAATAGCACATATAAAAACATTTTAACCGACCGTTGTACAAATATGACATCAGGGAACATGGAACAAAATATAGTTGTCAACTGTTTTCAAACATTTTCTTAGTTAAAAATTTAAAATAATTAAATATTAAATCAAACTTTTTTTAACAAGTAGTATTTTTTATTATGTAGGTACCTATTTATATCAGGTTTTTATATTATTTTGCATATTATGTACCTATTTATTTATATGAGTTCGTATTATTTGCTTAATTATTTTGCATATAAATGCATATTTTTAGTTCAAGAGAATATTTTAGTAAAAAAGCATTTTTTTTTGCATATTTTATTATTATTTTAAAGAATATTGGAAGAATATTTTCAACTTTTTAAGAGAATATTAGCATCTTATTTTGGCTATTTTAAAAGAATATAATTCCGGCCCCTAGTAATAACTAATATTGTATATACAGTGTGATCACGATTTTAGGTACCATTGAATATCTCAGATGGCTGACTTTGTATTGAAATGGGGTTTTCGGGAGGTGATAGCCGATAGGAAGCACTTAAATACATATTTTCAGACCAGTTTAAAATTTTTAGCTCACTCGGTATGCGCATGCGCAATTTGACTACTTTTTGTTAATGGCAACCCACTTTTTTTTCTACAGATTCGGGTAGAGTATTTTTTTTTTAAACATTTTTTGTATTAAAAGTTTTTCTATTTATAAAACTGACCAAGTTAGAGAAAGTCAAATTTTGGATTTATTCATAATACGTGTTTAATGCAATTTGCATTTATAACCAGTTGAAATAATAAAATAAGTGCCAAATAAATGTTTGATTGGGGGGGGGGGGGTGGCTGAGTGGACTAAGGCGTCGGTTGTGGCCGATTTCCGTCCGCCATTAAACATTTATTTGGCTCTTATTTTATTATTTCAACTGGTTATAAATGAAAATATTATTAAACACGAATTATGCATAAATGTTCAATAAATGTTCAAAAATAAATACTCTACCTGAATCTGCAGAAAAAACTGGGGTTGCCATTTAAAAAAAAGTAATATCGCGCATGCGGCATGCGCGTACCGAGTGAGCTAAAAATTTGAAACTGGTCTAAAAATATGTATTTAAGTGCTCCCTATCACCTCCCGAAAACCCCATTTCAATACAAAGTCATCCATCTGTGATATTCAGTGGTACCTAAAATCGTGATCACACTGTATATGATAATATTGATGGATGATTATATATTTATATAATATTATGGAGATTCGGGTGATTTTTGTATTATCTATGAAATATACATTAATAAAATTAGTACATAAATGTGTTTGACGATTAAAAAAAAAAAAAAAAAAAATGGTCAAGGGGGGGGATACGACACCCAAATCCCCCCCCGTAATTACGCCACTGTTAATAACAAATATATATTATATACTAAAACATTTTTTGTTCCATAAAAATGCATACCTAATTAAAAGTTAATATTAATTTGTATATATTAACCAAGATATCAAGGTAATTTTAAAAAAAAAATGGTATACAGAAAATAGAAATATTTTATGTTTTCATAGGTAGACCATTGGTATTGGTGCACATTTTTCCCTTGTTTTACCTTCTACAATAATCTGTACTCTTTGATAAATTAATATAGATTTACCTGTGCAATATTTAATGTCATAGGTCATGGTTAATATTTGTTTGGTATTTTTTGATACATGTTAAAAATTTTATTTAAATTGTTATTTTTTTAGTTCTAATAGGTATCTAAGGTTTAAATTTTAACAATTAAACTATAACATAACTATACTGCCTCAAAAGAGAATAATCAATCAGCAGACCAATTTTTTATCAGTGCTGCGCGTCTCCCACTAACTACCCAGTAATGATGTGGTTCCTGAAGCGCCAATCACATCATTCATGATACGCAAAAAGTGATTGTTCTCTTTTGAGACAGAATATGATAATTATTTTTTGTAAAAGTTCATTAAGAGTTCTAGAATATTGAAAGAACACTTCCCTACATTGTTACTGCATAAAAACATTTTATTTTTCATCAATTATTAGGACATAAAAATCCGGTCTCTAGTCATAAGTAAGTAACTATAAAAAATAATAAGGTACTCTACCTAGGTACTAAAAAGTGTAAATTACTTGAGTAAATACTAAATAATAATTAATTGTCAATAAAAATTAAACTTTCCAATTCCCTTAAAAGTGATTGTACTCATTGAGAAAAAAAACCAGTTTGATAATGCCAAACATGTTTTACCTTTAATGATTTCAACTAAGACAGAAGATGTTGTTTTTTGCAGTGTGGTACTAACCAGAAAAATAAGGTGTAAATCAGAAAAGCAAATAAGCAATGTTGGTCAGAAATATCTTAAGAAAATCAAAATATATGGCAAGAACATATTATAAAGAAAAAAAAACAAATAGTTCAAACACACACAGCTTACTACCTGTAATGATATACAATTATTGGTTTAAGAATACATAGCTACCTATAGATACAATGTGGAAAAAAATATTCTTTCTAAGGGATCGAGGAGAGGGTGGCTCCGGACGAAACGTCCTAGGCGACAGGAACTATTTTACCCACGATAATTAATGGAAGTTGAAGAGAAAAAAATGTTTGTAATATACGTTCGCCTTTCACAATGCCCTAGTTTCTTCATATATATATATATATATATATATATTTGCTCACGCACGCACACACAAATTATACGAAACTTACTACGCTTATACACATATACAGTTACACGCACACACACGCCACATTATAGGCACTCACCACGGTGGCGTACGCGTGTCGTCGATGTGTTCTTGATAGATAGATAGAAAGAGAGAGAGAGCGAGAGAGAGAGAGAGAGAGAGAATGATAAAAAGAGAGAGGACGAGAGAGCCAGAAGCAGCCAGAATGATAAAATTAATATACGAAAAAAAATACACCAACGTTCGAGACGTCGACGAAATAAAAATAATCGTAAAAGAATTGGCCGTAAAATTCGGTGTAATTCATACTCACGAGAAGACGAAGAAAACGACAACGACGGACTGGCACACGCCGGTGGCAAAGCAATCCAACGACGGCTGTTCAAGAAGTCTTGGTGGACCAAAAGAGGATACAAAATACGACGGCAACAAAAATGGACGGTCGACCAACTGTGATGACGTTCGCTGTGCGTATATCGCACGGACTACGGATGTATCGCGCACGAGGAGTATCGCTCACAAAATGGAAGGTGAACGGGAAAAACGTCGCCGTCGAATGGGAAATGCGGAGTAGTCGCTCTGCGCAGCGCGCCCGGGCGGCGGTCGGCGATATTATTATTAAACCGACGGGCGACGACCGACCGCCGGAGGCCGCGACGTAACGCTTGGCAAGACGGGCGGCGACGCACCAGCGAGGGTGGTACCCCTGAGTTAGCGATGCCAGTGTCGCCGGCGAGCAGGTCTAGAATTGGGTATGTAGTTAGTAGTCGTCAAGTCGTGCCAAATTACAACATTTATTTTAAAATATGAGGACTGGCGGGAAAGTGAGAATTATATTAATATTTAAATATTATACAAAGTGGATTAGGAAATCCACCTTGCCATCTTAGTTAAATTAACTATAGTTAGGTAATAATTGTTTGAAGTTCGGGTACTCTTGTCACTTTGGGCAGTAGTCTGTAGAGTAGTCACAATAATATATGAGTATATGACTATATAGTAAATAGGTAGTAGTAAATAATAATAATTTGTTAACTAGTAAGTACTAACTAGGTCAGTATAACAAATACTTCATATATATATGCTTACATAAGCAAACTGAAAAATACAATTGCAAAATCATAGAAAAAATACCAATATTAGACAGAAGTAGTAGTATTATCACTGTACGTTAGTGGCTAGCATGACAAAAGTATATATTTTGTCATGGCGGCTAGTACGGTCGTGGTTCACTTGAAATTTAAATGTATTACAAAGATATTCTTGAAAATTGGCACACGAAATGCCACTGATTGTTATCCCCTACCAGTAACCACAGGTCAGATGCTGGCTGCGGGTTTTCCACCACTAAAACGACCAAATTTTTTCATAAAATATTACAAAACATCTATATATATCACGCATATACAAATGGCTGCCTAAACCACAGACTAAATTATTACAGAAAAATTCTGTGCCAGTGCCCAGTGTGCCTAAACAGTTTGAACTTTGATCTTGAGAGTCTGGGCTTTTACATCAGCGCTCAATGTTATCATTCATTCATTAATCGGATATCACCAGTGGATTGTGGGGAGCGGCGTGACGCCGCGCCATGGTGCCATACATAAATGATTAATGCAACAGGAATTAGAAATAAATAAATAAGAATAGTCTACTAATTTTGTGTAAATAAAAATCTAGTCTTCTAAGCTATTGAAATATTATATAGTAAATAACATTTAATAACAATTGCTTATCATATGTATGTTTTAATGTTTTCCCCGATGTCCTTACAACATACTGTACGTCTGATACCTATTTTCTTATATATAACATTCTCTAAATTATGTATCAATTATAATATTAATTACTATATTCATGCATAATTGGATAAAAGTACTTACTAGTAGGCTGGGGTTAAAGTAGCAATGGGTACTCTGTGGTTTATATTTAATTTTGAGAGTTCCATACAATATCTTCCCAAACGATTCATCAATGTATTCGAGAGACATTTTTTTTCTAAATATTAATTGCTTTTGTTAATAGGTAGGTAGCAAAAATATCTAATTATAAAGAATCAAAATACCTATATATTAAATTTAATTAAATAGGTACAAATAGTTTTAGGCACATAAATTCAATGTTTTTTTCTTCATAGGACTCCATTTCAGTATTTCACACGTTTTTAACAACACTTACATATTATAAATTAACAAAATTAAATATAACAAAACAATAGGCTCAAAATTAACATAAATAGGTATTATATTAATCTTAGGAATTAAGGCTTCATTGCAAATAAATCATTTTTTTAACACTTTGATAATATAAATTATCATAATTAAATATAATAAAAAAAAATATTAATAGGAACATAAATTATACTGCCCTTTTAACTTAGGCATATTGCACAAAATGTTAAATACATATTAATTAAACGTGTTCGAGGCTCATCTGGCCAATAATTTTTAAATAAATATATTAATAAACACTAAAAATATAAAATGTGAAATTGTTGAAAATAAATTATTACTTTTAACGGAGGATAAAATATTAAAATTAAGCTTTATTTCCTCAGTGTACCAGCGTATTGTTTGAAGAATTAGTTAAAGGCCTTATTAGTGACACCTTATAAACGCAGTCAGAAGTAGCGCGACTGAGTCTCATTAACCCCTAGTTGTAGTAGGTAGCAAATGTTCCAATACTAGATAATCTTCTTGTAAAATAAAAAAAGAATTCTTGATGTAATTATTAAATTCCTACCTCCAAAATCTAAAAAATATTGAATAATATAGATACTAAATACTGATCCAAAGATTGATATAATTACAGTAATATTAAATATAAATACTATCATGTCTTACAATCATGGGTTAAGAGGACGCTACACCCGCATGTGTTGTCTCCGTCTTACACACGTACGACATAGATAAAACGCGTTTAGGCAGTCTGGGTATAACTCGCTCAATTTTGGTTCTAGAGTAAAAATGCCTATTATGAAATTGAATTGTGATAATATTTCTAAGGGCGAGACGCTGCGGTTTTTCCATTATACCCAATATAACGTTCATTATATCGTTTAGAAATAGAAAAAATTTCACCATTTTTAAAATACCTTCGACTTTTAAAAAATTTAATTTTTTAAAAAAACCGCAGCGTCTTGCCCTTAGAAATATTATCACAATTCAATTTCATAATAGGCATTTTTACTCTAGAACCAAAATTGAGCGAATTATACTCAGACTGCCTAAACGCGTTTTGTCTATGTCGTACGTGTGTAAGACGGAGACAACACATGTGGGTGTAGCGTCCTCTTAAAGTTTTTAATATTTTAATTTGAACAGGTAGATAACTATATATATATATATATCCGATACCTAGGTACTATGCGTCTATAGATCTTTATTTCATTGGACAAGGTGGTCTAAGATAGTTACTCATAAGTCATAACAATTAACTTAATGTTAAATAAATAATACAATGAGGTAACTATATGGAAAAATAATACTTTAGTTTTCATAAGAAAATATGAATATTTTTTTATATACCAACATAATTACTTCAAAATTTACCTACTGAATAAGTAATTTTAATAGAAACCCATAGTTTCTAGCGGTTAGTTAAACTTTTACCTATAGTTAAAAACACCTATCAAGATAAGGTATACAATTTGAATTTAAACTTATGTAATATGTTCCTTATAAAATAATGTAAATATGCTGTTATAACATCTGAACAAATACACATTAACACAATAAAGTTAAAATTCATTAACCTCATTTAATTTCTTTCAATTACAAATAATTAATGAAACATTAGGTTCAAGTTACAGGTTATACATAAAATGTACCTACTCGATAAACAATAATATTCTAAAATGTAGTAGCAATTATTAGGACCTATCCTCCAAATTCCCAAAACCTACGAGTTAATTGATTCAAACAGATATAATTTGAAGTAGGTACCTATTAGCTTACTGTTATTATCAAACCATAATGAGTAAATATATCTACTGTAACACTATATGCATGTGTATAATGTACAAAACATACCCAATAATATTATTTTATACCTATTTACTACAGAATTATAGGCACATTATTTAAAATATCGATCCAGAGCAACTTTTGAGGAGCAATCGTCCACCAGAGAAACTTTATTCCCAAGATTGTTCTTTTATTATGTAAATAATAAAAATAATAATTAATGAAAATCATTAACAGTATAATTATTGTTTAAGTTATAAAATATAAGTATGCTACTGTACTTGAATTTAATAAAGAGTTCATCTTATATTGCATTAAAATATACTTTAATTATAACCTGGGTACAGTTTTTTACTTATAGGGGGAAATATAACAGATGGCATATAATTCACATATTTTTTGGTAGGTACAACAATCAATTCTCTACAATTTAAAACATTATATTGAGTAAAATATTAGTTCAATATGTATTATGTATATTACAGATAGAAAACCTAATTGCGTAACACCAACCATAGTAGTAATATAATCTGTAGTGTTTAATGCAGTTATTTAGATGAAACAACAAATTTGGTTATAATATTTATAACAATAAGTTACCTTCACTTTCATAAAAACTCACATACCTATAATTGCATTTTATTTTACATTTTTGTTAAAATAATTAATTTTTTATATCATAAACTCTTAATCAAATTTGAGAAAAAACATGATAGGTTATTTACAAAATATAAAAATGTATGTATAATATTATATAAAATAATTTTCCTAAGGAATTAGGATACAGATAATTTTAGTACACAATCATTTATTTTTATGTTAACTTCCACAAATGCAGATTAACAAAATAACAAACGGATTTTTACTTAAATTACAATCAGTTATGTCAACATAACATTTTACAATGAAAAACTTAGTTTTGTACAACACTTACTTCAAGATCGAAAGATTGGATTTATGTTCAGGTCTGACATACATTTTGAACATTTGGCTATGTAGTAAATATTAGATACCTTTTCAATCTGGAAAAAACCAATGGTATGTTAAAAACATATAAGAACTTACTCAGATAACTAAAATTATTAAACTAACTAATAAATGTCAATATTTAACTAACCAACATATTGTCACCTTGTGAAGTAAATACAGGAAGTTGTCATCTTTTCAGTTTTATCGGTTTAATCCCAAACCTGCAAAAATATCACAAATTATGACATATAATAAGAATAATAAAATATTTTATAAATTACCTATGTAAATTATGCATCAATAGTTTCTTGAATTGTTGAAAACTGTTTAGTTGAACATTTGCCTAGACATAATATAAGTAGTATCAAGAATAAAATAATAATAATAATTAATAACATAATCATTGACTGAACATTTTATTCACATACATTCAATCAATGATGGAATCATTAAAAATATGCAGCCACTAAAAATATCATGGGGCCACATTTTAAAGATTAATATTCAAAACAGTCATTTATTTTTATTTAAATTTATAATTGTATGAAGTGTTAATTTATTAATTAGTATAATATATTAATATTTTATACATTTAAAAAAACAATTGTAATCCTTAACATTTTATAACAATTATTTTCCTAAACATTTAAGGCACAAGAAATTTAATAATAAAAGATAATACTTTTTAGTATTTGAATTTTGAATTACAATTTTCTTATAATTAAAAACAAATTCTAATTGTATTTACTTTAATAACTGTTAAAATCCAGTAATGCCACATTTTACATATAATAACATAACGATAATATGAAAAGGTTGTAGAGAATTAAACTTATCTAGCCCCAAAAAATTATAATGACTGTATATTTGTTTGAAAATCAAAATTAATCAAAAATCGACATTTAATTAGCAAACATTTGACAAATATTATAATTAAAATGTAACTTTCAACATATTTATATTATATTGTTGATCAATTTCAAATATTATACAATTGAATTTGTATTATTTTATATTTAATAATAATTTGTAAATTGCAAACCTACCTAAGACACTTACTATCTTGGAACCGGGGGACCTAAGTCCTACGCTGTTGATAGGAGTCTCAATATGTTGGTCTGCATTAAATGCCTAATTTAATATCTTGTAATCAAAATCTATAACTTATCATCTATTGATAGTGAAACCTCTATAAGACACAACGATGGTGGCTAAAAAACTGTATCATTGAACGGAATTCACTATTAAAAGTAGTAAGATGCACATAATCACATTTAACCAGTTTAAAAAAAAAATCTATTAGAAAAGATTCAGTAATTGAAAGACATTGATAAATAGAGATTTCACTTTAACATGATTATAATAAAACACATGAGGAAATAATGACGTTAATATATTATACAGAATTTTAGAACATAATAATGCACACTACTTACGATCTGTTGCAATATAGTAGAAATTATGCCTACCATATTTAAGCATTCATTTAAGAATGTTCCTTTTACTAGAAAAAATGTATTGTGAGTATTAAAAATATTGAGTCAACAACAATTGTATTCTGGTCCCTGTATAAAGACTGGGTATTTTTTATTTTATTAATATAATAATATATAGTTACACAAAAATTATTCACCATTAAATAAAACGTTTTACATTTAAATTAACCAGTGTTGTAAATTTTTAAAATTATATTGGAAAAACAATAATTAATTAAATAAAAAAATATATATGTTTTAATATATATATATTATATATATATTATATAGTAGATTTATAAAATGTTTTAATCTTATATCACCTAAATTTCAAATCATAATGAATATGATAAACAAATATTGTACTAACATAATTTTATAGTGGTTCATAAATGGCATTAAGTGTCAACATGTGAAGAGCAGATAATTTTTGTCTGAAAAAAACATCATTCGAATAGTTCAATACCCAAAATTTGAAGGAGAGAAATTTGATGGTTATTGATTCCTACCAGCCTCGCTTCAGCAACCTGCCTAACAAGATACAAAAAAAATCATTATGCATAAAAAACAAAAACAATCCTCAGTATTATTTTTATTCAAGCTAAGAATAATTTGTGAAGCATTAAGAGTTATTATTTTAAAATATTAATGCTCAATACTCACTTTTAATACCTCCCTCTTGAATTTTGATGGAAATTACCACTACCTCCTAATACCAATAAATTATGTTATTAGAAATAAATTATGTAACTATTTATAATTCTATAATGAATTATATTATTATATTATATGAGAATTAATAAAAATAATTTAATTATTTCAACAACAAATATTACCACGGCCTGTATGATATGGTACTGCTCTGTTGTTACCAAAATTTCCTCGCATTGGTCCACCTCCATATCCACTACTTTGACTACCTCCCCAATTACCTCCTTTAAATAAATAAAAATATATTTAATTAGATATATATAATTTAAAGATGTTATAGCTGATGAAAATACCTCTATTACCCCAACCTCCTTGGGTAGCTTGACTACCCCAAACATTATTCCAACCTTGAGGACCACCTTGAGCCCAACCACCACTACTGCCTCCATTGCCATATCCCCCAAAATGGTTACCTGAAAATAAATTAACCAACATAAGTAAAATGTTAAAAATTGATTGTTTTCAGTTTTAAATTATAAGAACCACAATACAATAAAATACTGACTAAAAAATATTTAATAATCAACTTTGATATGAAAAACTATTAATTACAAAATTATTTATGAGAAAAACTTATGTGTATTCCCATCAGCTTTGGGATATGTCATTATTTCTTATATGTAACTTCATAAGTTATAATTTAGATGTAATTATAATATGATGTATACATTAAGATAAAATACACTCACCTCCCCAGTTATTTGGTCCTCCCCAACTTTGTCCTCTTCCACCACTAGCACCACGGCCACCTCTGCGACCTCTAGAAGCCGATGCTACATCTTTACTGACAGCTTTTTTAACTTCTAATTTAGATCCAGAAACTTCATGGGTTTTGATTACTATAAAAAAAATGTAATATAACTCATTTTGAAAAAAAAATAATTTAAAAAAAAGGAAAAATAATACATACAAACAGCTTTATCAACTGAGTCTGAATCATCAAATTCAATGAATCCAAAGCCTTTACGTTGTCCAGTTTCTTTGTCTGCAATAATTTGAATGTTAAGTATATTTCCATACTGTCCAAAATATTCTTTTAAGTCTTCTTCAGCTTGTTCTTTAATTCCAGAGACAAACATTTTTTTTACAGTCCAAGCTATATCAGGTTTGTCTATGTCCTATAATAATACCATTGTGAAATAAACAATAAAATATGGAACAGTAGATTCTCTTTTATAAAATTTGATTGAATATTTACATCACGAGGGACAGCACGTTTTGTTTCTACTTCACGGCCATCAATTTTATGAGGTCTATTGGCCATAGCATCATCTACCATTGAAGCTTTTGAATATGTAATAAAACCAAATCCTCGTGATCTAAAATATAAAATAAACTTGTTATAAATGTTATGAGAAATATGTTATTTTAAATATAATTGATATTTAAAATTTTTGGCATATTTTTATTTTAAGAGCATTTTAAACTTTTTAAATCTAATATTAACACATTGTTAATAGTTTTATTGTATGTATCAAAAACAAAATTAGTTTGAAAACTTTACAAATATTGTCTAAATTTATAGAATAATCAATACACACATTATGTTAAACTTTTTAAAATAATGGTCGACCCGTAAATACAATAAAAATTTAAAATAATTATTTTATATTTATGAATTATTAATGCATAATCAATTAATGAATTTTTAATGGTACTATAATATTTTGTATTTTTGAAGTGAATGAACTTAAGTGCGATAGTTATTACTTACTAACTAAATTATAGTTGGTTAAAGCTAACAAAACTGGCATTAATTAATTTATCTAAAATGTATTTTTTGATTGATTTATCTACTTTAAAATTTGTAGAAAAAAACTGTAAATAATACAATTTATATGTACTAATAATAATTAAATTCACTAAAATACAACTTATCAAATAATATCTAACAAATGATAATCAAAGTATTAAAAAAAAATCAATTAAAATATTTCCATTGAAATGTACTAATTAATTTCAATGTATAATTAAGCTAACCTACAAATTAATTCTGAATAATATTTTGTTTATTATTTTGAAATATTCATATTATGCTATGTTGTAATAAAGATTTGTAAAATACTATTTCAGCTACATATATATATTGTGTTAACATTTAATTATTTAAGTAAATTTATATCTTATGAATTTGTTAGAAAAATGTAAAGGTTCGAGTATAACCTTTTTGTCACAGGATCTTTCATAACGACTACATCGACAATATCGCCCCACTTTTCGAAAAATTCTTTTAATGAATCATTTGTAGTTGTATAGTTAAGTCCACCAATGAATAATTTCCTGAACTGTTCCGGTTCTTCGACATCTACGGCATTTTCCCCCTAATCAAAAATCATACATTAGTTTAAACACATATGAACAATAAAAACGTTATTTTAAAATATTATAGACGAATAAAACTCTTAGTTCTTACCGATACACTCATTGTACGAACTATCACGCAGACGGATATACTCAAAGAAGAATTATGGTATATTTCGTTGTAGTTAAATCGAGACCCTCGAAATGGCGCCGGAATGAAACTTCGATAATCGGATGGATGATTACAGGTTGTAGGTAGATGTACTATAGACGCTTATCGTTTTGATGAACTACCTGGCCGAAGTAAGTACTCGCAGTAATGAGCGAACGAATAAACAAAACGATTGCCGACCACAAGTTACAAGTCGAGCTCCTGCACCCAATGCAAATAATGCAAATAATGCAATCGTAGAAAACGACTTACGAGCAACAGCGTGGAAATGGAAAACTAAAATTCAAGTTGGGTTCACACCGCAACTAGCGCCGCGATTCGAAATTGATAGTTATTATTGCAATATAATATTATAATGTACCTAATACCTATATAGTATTAAACAGTTGTAGTTCGTAGTACAGGTTGCCCGACAGCGACGGGCGTTGGAGGTTTGGGTTTGGATTTTTGGAACTCGGTCTCGGATTAGTCGGATTTGTCTTGATAAGACGGACCGCTGAATTAAATTTTAATCAGTCAGTGCAGTTAACAAACCACAGAAATAAGCATAAAAAACCACCAGACTGCCAGACTGTTGTAGTTGTAGCGTCAAGCCGAAGATGCAGTGTAGCATAACTGATCAAAAAAAATTATAAATTCATAATTGCCAACATGGAAAAGTAAAAATCCCAACAATTTGGTAACCACCTCAACAGTTCAAACTATCAAAGTTCAAATATAATAATATATAATTTTTATAATATTACGTATATTTCTGAATTGTGTTTGTTTTCTACATTTCTAATTCGATTATTCGAAATTCAAATTCAAATTATTCTTAGCACGGCTAAAAAGTTATTATTCGTACTAGTCAGTGGCGCTGAACTTATGAACTAGCACAGAACAATGGAACTAGTGAAGTGCCGAGTCGACCGGTGACTGAAGTTGCCTGTAGTGTAGTCTGTACTTTTAAGTATAAATGTAAATTAGTGTACAGCATGACGAAATAACGATATTTATTTAACTCTAAAACTAAACAGTAAACAGTCATCTGCCAAATATCAAGCTCTACCCACGTCAAAATAGACATGACTTAATATACGTCTATACCCTTATATTTGTTCTAGCTTCTTTTATCTATCCTGATGTGAAAGGTGTCATGTATTCATTCTATTCAGAACACAAACCAACGAACCATAAAACAAACGCGTTCGAAGATGTTTGGTAGGCGGTAGCATTTGAAGGGTTACGGGGAAAAACGATCATAGTCAAAAGAAAGAAAAAATCAAATAATTATAGTACCTCTTGGTCAGTTTCATAACGAATCGACACGTAAATCGAGTTATGGAAAAAATATCACGGTCAATGATATAATACATGTTTAAATATTGCCATAACGGAAAAAAGTCCCTAACTGCAATACTCAACATTTTAGGAATATTGACTATTATCGTTTTTCCCCGTAACCCTTCATTTGCATTCGTTTTCATTCGTACTATCTTAAATCGCGGGTCATAGACACAACTGTCTAGTACAAGCATAGATATTATAATATATCTATGAGTATAAGTAGAGCTCTTTAAGAACAGGTTTTAAAGACAGCCGCCATTTTCTTTCCAATTGGAATAAATAAAGAATTTATACAAATTATACAAATATTTATCAAAACAAGTGCGTCTATGAAAAATCGTTAATAATCGTTCAAATATATACTTTCCTACCTTTATTCATTAATTACCAAAATTCAATTTCACAAAACAAATTTAATATTTAATAAATACATGACTAGCTATTATCATTTATCAGCTTTGGAAAGAAAATGGCCGCTGTCTTTACCCGTGTCTATTAGGACCTTAGTATAAGTACAATAACTAATAACCACAATGTCGGATGTTATATGTTAGATGATACATAAATATATAATATTATCAGCTATTCCGTGTTATAACCTATGACCTTACACTCAATATAAGAGTATTCTAAGGTAGTAGTAATAACATTGTTCTATGGTAACAACTACTATGATTATAACGAAGAACGAACCTTAATCGTTATTAAATTTGGTCATTATTATATTCATCATTCATGACAAAATATAGTATGTATTTACTATAATATGTATATTATACTTTTTCGGTGGGTGGGTCTTATAATTTCTTATTATATTAAATAATAAAATAGTCAAAAGACATCCATAATCGACTTGCTCTCTTAATATTACCATAGATTTGAAATTACGATTTATTGCAATCTGTGTGCATTCATGATAGTTAATAGCCAGGTTTATAGTATATAGATTATAGGGTGATAGTAAGTAATAACTAATAAGCATCGCGGCGTTCATACGGTGACAGTACGCTGTCGTGACTCGTGAAAGCAAGTAGCAACTATCATTTATCAAGCAACTATCGCGTTTTACTATCATTGTGCGCAAACAACGCAGGCTATGTCCGTAGTGGTTAGTTCTCGAACTACAACTTACAACAAAAATCAAAACATTCCGCGTTATTTTTATAACAAATAATAATAAGCAAATGGAATTTCCATAGATTTACGATTGTGATTTGTGTATACTGTGTATAATAAATAATAATTAATATCTCTTTAATATATAATGGATATTGGAAATGGTCACAGCAGAAATCTTTTATAATTATTATTTTCTTATAGATAATATTATTTTAAACTAAAATAATAAATCATACTTATTATAATCATTAATCACAGAATAGGTATAAGAAATTTCATAAATTCCGTGTTATAATCTTTGGGGGTTATATCGGTTATTCAGTTATGGCCTAATGAGCAGTTGTGGCCATTGGGTTAAAGATTATATTATGTTCTACTGTTTACCTAGTGCTTGTACATATTTTAGTCATATTTTACATAGTTAAATTATTTATAAGTATAATTATTTGATCATACTTATATATTGTAATTTTTATTGTATTTATGTCTTATCCATGCGATAGCGTTCACTGTACACTGAATAACGAGTTATTGGCACATTACACGGACTAAGATAAATTCCAGATGACTATTCAATATTCATTAGTATAAGCTCGATATAAGTTATCTTTCGTCACTTAAGGAATATTCTTAAAACATTTTCTGAGGAAATTCTTTAACTCTACTCATATTGACCTAAGCAGTTTTACATCAAACACTTGAACACCACATGTCCACATCAAGGTATTATCTATAACTTAAATTCCTATATTTATGTTGTTTCTGTATAATATTTATGTTTGTTAATTACTAAGAATTATTCCTTTTTTTAAGTTTTGTTTTACGAGCCATTCAGTGGCGTAGTTAAATGTTTTTTCTTGGGTAGGCCCAATATTTCAATGGAAGGATACCAATAAATATTTTTATTAAATAAACAATTAACAGAATATCGTATATTATTATACATGCATGTATTTCAAATTGTACAAAACCATATTGATTAAAATGTATTTATGTCTTATTAAAAAAAAAAAAAAAAAGCTTTACCCGTTTACCAAGTAAAATATTTTTAAAGCAAAAATTCTAATTTTCTTTTTTCATTGTCGCGTGAACTCGTCAATTATAGCAGATGGAGTTTCGGTGTGTGCACGCTCGAGCCACTTCGGCATCAGGCTCAGAATTCGTTTCAGCAGTTGCTTTTAAATGGCCTGTTGTAGTGGCATGACAAAAAAGTTTCATGTTTCAAAAATGAGTTGCGGACTAAACAAAAATAATCATGGAGTTCTATTGGTATTAGACATTGGTACAAATATTGTTTGAGGGAGGGGGCTAAAGCCCTACTATATAATAATATTGAATACGCTTAAAAAAAATTTAGGACATTTTTGAAGGGGTTATTGACACTTTTGGAGGTGCTTAGCCCCTAAAGCCCCCCCCCCCTATCTGCGCCAATGGTATTAAACTGTCATAATTTTCTAACTGACTACAACTTATTATAAACATTCATTGTTTTTGGAAATCAATTAAATAATATAAATTATAATATAGGTGACTTACAATAATAATAATAATAATAATAATAATAATCTTTATTGCAACAATAGAATATAATATACAATATTTACAAAAATAAGAGTTAGATATTGCAGCACCCCCTATAGGCCAAGTTGTGTTGGGGGGCACGGTTCTCATTATTTAAAGTGAATACATAATGGATAATTCACATGGGTCATGTGATCGTATCAATTAGAATTGAGTCGAGAATATACGGTCTATATTCTATAATATTGTATAGTATACCAGCTTGGTTGCTTGCATCTTACATGCGTTTCGTTGGAAGCCGATTATTTAAGAACCAATCGGCAATTGAACCTCAAGTTATTTAAAATTCTCAGATTAAAATTGTATTTACACTAATTTTACAATATATTTATTTAATTATATCAGGGTTGCTACGCACTCACTATTTCTCACTATTCTCACTTTATTTGAGTGTGCTCACTTTTTCGCACTTATTTCATTGATTCCTCACTTTTTTAAAGATCTATAAATGTAAATAACTAAATAAGTGTTTAAATTAAATATTCGAAATTTTTATAATTATTTATGTTTTAAGACTATTTTTAAAAATAAAAAAAAATAAATTGTGAAATAAAAATCCCCAGACTACAATATTACTCATAACCTCATGAAAATTGTTGAACAAATATTTTTTAAAAAATAATTAGTATCTATAATTACCACATTATTAATATTTAATTACAAATACGTATATTATACTATATTATAATATCATTCAAAAAAAATATAATATCAGTTTCTACAGTTGTTATATTTGTTAGTTACCTACATTTTATTTATGTTATATAATTTAGGTACTGTCGGTAGAACCAACTATTATTAATATTTAAACAAAATTGTTTTATAAGTATAATTTATAACTTGTTTATAATAAACTGAAAAAGTAAAAAACAACTGGCTTACAAATAGCTAAATAGCTTACAATAAACTATTGTATTGTATTT